AAGTTAACATAATATCTGGACAGAAACATGTGGATACATACCGTTTGGACAAGTCTGACAGCAGTGCCCCGGCTTCCGAATAGGGTCGACGCAGAGGGAAGGGAAGAAACAGTCGATAGCCATGCAAGACATACGGCCACCTTGCGTGCACGTGCAGGGCATGCACGCGTTGTCGGTCCGTTCACCAATCTTATAAGTCTTATTTTGATACACACATTCGTCAACTGCAACTGCAACTGGCACCACCGGAAGTGACGCAGACTCGGAGTAGACGGCAAGCGCCAGGAGTACGGCAGACGACACGAGTGTTCCGATCATTGCAGCAGAAGTGAGTTGAATATTGAGACGTTCCATTTATGGAAGTGTTTCTTATCTATAGATCTCTCTGGTGATTTACTTCGTACTCAGTTGACCTTTTGAAGATCCGATAATAGGAATTAGGTGAAGCCTAATGAGAGAGCGCATTATTCTATGACACATGTTGTATGACGATTACATTTGGCAATTATTGACCAACTATCGGGTTGTACATGACACCCACACCCACCCACCCACCCACACACACACACAGAGAGAGACACAGACAACCACCCACCCATTCAGTCACTGAATTGTCTGATTCAGACTGGATTATTTACGACCTGCCGTCAAACAGCTGCGGACACAAACATGAGCCACGACCACAAGTGAGAGCAATGCCTCTAACCATACCATGTCGTCTGAGGGGGAAAGAGTGAGTAAGTTTGATTTAACGCCGATTTTAGCTGTATTTCCGTTATATCCCGGCGTGTCACCGTGTGGGAGGAAAACCCAAAGTAATCCAGGTCTCAGACGTTTACCACTTCGGTGAAACCTACAAGCACGAGTATTGCGCTGACAAACCTAGAAATAAATTCGGGCCGAACCGGGATTCGAACCCTAAATCAAAGATTCCTGGCGTGCCCAAGTGTCGCAACTCTGCACAGCGAATCGCGGCGCCTTAGACGACTGGGCCACCCGTGCCTCAAATATGGAATATATTTGATTATCCGCAGAAACAGATTCCATTAGGAGTTAAAAGAAAAATAACGGTGAATAATGCCCAATACATCATTGAAAATCAGTGGTGACACCAGGTGTAAGGGTATTATTATTAATGTAACACAAACTCGATAAGCCATATATTACTGGGCATCTCCATCTCACCGGTGGAAAAGATCTTGACTCAGAGATGTTTTATAGGTAATGAGTACAAAGATGATATTTTCTGGGGGTGATTATTTGCCTTTACCCCGTTTATTGTTCATTGGAAGCTTCCGTATCATTATTTTTATTATAACACTATTTCAATATATTTGTCAAACAAATGCTAGAATAATGTATGAATATGAGAGCCCGCCATCAGGAAAGTGTTAAAAGACAACATATACACATCAAGGGTAAAGGTGTATAATATGAGTGAGTGAGTGAATATGGTTTTACGCCGCTTTTAGCAATATTCCAGCAATATCACGGCGGGGGACACCAGAAATGGGCTTCACACATTGTACCCATTCGGGAATCGAACCCGAGTCTTCGGCGTGACGAGCGAACGCTTTAACCACTAGGCTACCCGACCGCCCCTGAATAATATGAACAAAGAAAAAGGCATAAGATGACTGGAGGAAACTATTGATTTTCATTGAACAATTTAGAAATTAAAAAAATGACTTTTGCGTATTAAATGCAACCTGAGCAATCATGTTTATACCAAATAGTATTTTAATATGTATGTGTTGTACCAAGTGAAGATTAAATTATGATGACCAAAGTGCGTGTGAACAATCACGTGTTCCATTTACGATAAGGAAATATTTGAGATACCCTCCTACACACTGCTATCAATCTGAGTGGAAGAAGATGACATTTGGGTCAACTGTCTGCACCCTTCTTTTGGACTATTTCCCTATGTAATAGAGGGGGCAATGATCAGCCATGATGATGGTGTGGAAGTTCCGCTAGCGCTAGAGGAGGCACGGGTGGCCAAGGCGCCGCGATTCGCTGTGCAGAGTTGCGTCCCTGGGGCACGCCAGAAACCTATGATTGTGAGTTCGAATCCCGGTTCGCCCCGATTATGTTTCTAGGTTTGTCAGCACCATACCCGCGCTCGTGGGTTTCTCCGAAGTGGTAAATGTCTGAGACCTGCATCACTTGGGGCTTTCCTCCCACATTAAGCTGACACGCCGTAATATGACTGGAATACTGTTAAAAGCGGCGTTAAACCCAACTCACTCACTCACTCCGCTAGCGCTAGAGGTTCCCGAAGATGTGACCGGTTGTGTATACAAAGGAACACCTACAAGATCGGGGAATACATGAAGACAATAACATGTCGCCCTGCGGGTGCACTGGTAGTGGGATGATGAGTGTGCATGACCGTTTTGCGTCAACCCTGTTCGGGAGCCAAACCAGCGCTGCCTGACCTGCCCAGATGATGAGTGATGCGCCATTGTTCAGTACGTGTGACGCGACATTTTTCAGGACGTGTAACGTGGCATTGTTCAGTACGTGTGACGTGGCATTGTTCAGTACGTGTGACGTGGCATTGTTCAGGACGTGTGACGTGGCATTGTTCAGTACGCGTGACGTGGCATTGTTCAGTACGTGTGACGTGGCATTGTCCAGTACGTGTGACGTGGCATTGTTCAGGACGTATGACGCGACATTGTTCAGGACGTGTAAGGTGGCATTGTTCAGTACGTGTAACGTGGCATTGTTCAGTACGTGTGACGTAGCATTGTTCAGTACGTGTGACGCGCCATTGTTCAGGACGTGTAACGTGGCATTGTTCAGTACGTGTAACAGGGCATTGTTCAGTACGTGTGACGTGGCATTGTTCAGGACGTATGACGCGACATTGTTCAGGACGTGTAACGTGGCATTGTTCAGTACGTGTAACGTGGCATTGTTCAGTACCTGTGACGTGGCATTGTTCAGTACCTGTGACGTGGCTTTGTTCAGTATCTGTGACGTGGCATTGTTCTGTACGTGTAACGTGGCATTGTTCAGGACGTATGACGTGGCATTGATAAGTATGGTCAACACGTGACAGGCCAAGGTCAGGACGAGCAAGAGTAACCACCCCCGCCGAGATCGTTACCTACGTGAAAGGACGACTACGGCCGCCTCAAACGCTCCCCAAAGACCCGAACTGCGCATAATCTCCGACCAGACCGTACGAAACCGCTTAAGAGCAACAGGTCTACGAGCAAGACGTCCAGTTCGACGCGTCATATGGAGTCAACAACGACTGTATTGGTGTCGTCAACACAGGGTATGGTCTCAACTGCGACGGAAATATATCTGGTTCAGCAAAGAATCAAGATTTCTCCTCCGTCGAGGGGATGGAAGAGCACGGGTCTACATACGTTGGGGAGAACTGCGGACAGGCAGTGGACAGGTTAAGTGGGGGAAGCGTTATGATGTGGGCGGGTATCTCTCATCATGGCAGGGCAAGTTTGGTTCATAACCAGGGCAGTCTTACGGCTCAACAATACATCAACGAAATTATCCTACCTCACGTCCTCCCAACTGCAGCCAACGACAACGGTGTATTTTAGCAGGACAACCATCGCCAGCATGGATCACAAGATCCTGTCCACACAACAAAAACGTTGATGTTCTCCCCTGGGCCTCCAGGTCCCCGGATTTGAACCCGATAGAGCACCTGTGGGAGGAATTGGATAGACTGCTACGTCGACGTCAACAACAACCCCAGACGTTGCAGCAGTTGGCTTTTGCGTTGCAGGCCGAGTGGGCAACCATTCCCCAGGATGTGATCCGCATACTCGTCTCTTCCATGGGCAGGAGATGTCAGGCTGATATCTGTTCCAACGGGGAACATACGCGTTATTGATGTTGGCTGACCTTCACCTCAAACTTTTCCTATGTACCGATAAGTGTTCTCTCCACAACATTTTGGCTCAATACCTTGAACGGTTCCTCGTATAAATGTATTTTCTTACCACACACAAATCTGGCTTTGCGTTTCTTTTTTAGAAGAGTGTGTATTCTTGTTGCAGATGGAAGCAGTAGACTTTGATTTGATGGAGTTTTGAATGTATCATTGTATTAAACGCTTTACAAGTATTCAATAGAACATCTCGCAGGATCGTTTTATAGAAAGATTTTCTGGTTATCTGAGAAGAAGAACAGGAATTGCAAGTGTTTACGAGACATTTTGAACACATATGTGAGCATAATATTTTGTTTAAATGAAAGGAAGTTGTATGTCAAATATGTACACTTAACTGAACTGTTACGTATATTTTGACACACAAATTAATGCTTTCAATTTTTGTCGCCAGTTGTTCGCGAAAAGGGTAAGAGCACTATCACTGGAACAGTTACACAAACTCTTTTAGCAGTGTGTTATTAATTTTCTCCATTTATGTGGAAAGGGTCTCGAATCAAATATGTTTGATAGATTATTACCATTGGTGAATATTTGCACCACTTAGCGATTTAACTCCGGAAGCTAAAGTATACTTATCATTGTTGTATCCTAACAGTATTCCCATATATTTATCAAACAGATGCTGTTGTAGTTTATTGACATGAGGAGAGTGTTAAAATACAAAAAAGCACACATAAAAGGTATAATGTCAAAAATGAATGTTATGAACAAACAAAAATATAAGTCAACTGGAGGAAAATAATTATTTTGATGCAATAATGTATGATGTCCAAACACAATGTAATACTGTTGACATAAATGACAGTTTTAGGTATTAAATGCAACCTAAGCAGTCATGTTGATACATTAAACGTATTTGTAATATATATATATATATATATATATATATATATATATATATATATATATATATATATATATATTAAATTAAATGCAACCTAAGCAGTCATGTTGATACATTAAACGTATTTGTAATATATATATATATATATATATATATATATATATATATTATCCAATGAAAAATGATGACTCAAGTACGTGTGAAAAATCACGTGATCCAATTCTGATAAGAAGATATTTGAGACTCCCGTACAATCCGAGTAGAAGAAGACACAATCTCTGCAGACTGACAAAAGTAATATGGTATTTGGGTCATACGTTTGTGTTCTTCTTTTGGGACTATTCCCTTTTGTAATAGAGGGCGCAGTGATCGGCCATGAGAATGGTGTTGACGAGGTTTCCGAAGATGTAGCGGGCTGTGTATACAAAGGTAACACGTACAAGATTGGGGAACACATGAATACCAGCCCATGTTCCCCCTGCACGTGCACTGACGGCGGGAGGAGGATGTGCATGGCTATTGACTGTGCGCCTCCCATGTGCGTCAACCCTGTGCGGAAACCTAGCCAGTGCTGCCAGACCTGCCCAGATGGTGAGTGATGCGCCATTGTTCAGTACGTGTGACGCAACATTGTTCAGTACGTGTGACGCACCATTGTTCAGTAGGTGTGACGCGCCATCGTTCAGTACGTGTGACGCACCACTGTTCAATACGTGAGACGCGCCATTGTTCAGTACGCGTGACGCGCCATCGTTCAGTACATGTGACGCACTATTGTTCAGTACGTGTGACGCCCCCTTGTTCATTTCGCGTGACGCGCCATTGTTCAGTACGCGTGACGCACCATTGTTCAGTACGTGTGACGTACCATTGTTCAGTACGCGTGACGCACCATTGTTCAGTACGTGTGACGCACCATTGTTCAGTACGCGTGACGCACCATTGTTCAGTACGTGTGACGCACCATTGTTCAGTACGCGTGACATGGCATTGTTCAGTACGTGTGACGCACCATCGTTCAGTACGTGTGACGCACCATCGTTCAGTACGTGTGACGTTCAGTACACCTGACGCGCCATCGTTCAGTACGTGTGACGCACCATTGTTCAGTACGTGGGACGCACCATTGTTTCAGTACGTGTGACGCACCATTGTTCAGTTCGTGTGACGCAACATTGTTCAGTACGTGTGACGCACCATTGTTAAGTAGGTGTGACGCACCATTGTTAAGTAAGTGTGACGCGCCATTGTTCAGTAAGTGTGACGCGCCATCGTTCAGTAGGTGTGACGTGATATTGTTCAGTACGTGTGACGCACCATTGTTCAGTTCGTGTGACGCAACATTGTTCAGTTCGTGTGACGCGCAATTGTTCAGTACGTGTGACGCGCCATCGTTCAGTAGGTGCGACACGCGATTGTTCAGTAGTTGAGACGCACCATTGTTCAGTTCGCGTGACGCGCCATTGTTCAGTACCTGTGACGCGCCATTCTTCAGTAGGTGTTCTCTATAAACACCTGATATCAGACAATTAAGGTCTAATGGGTTATCAGAAACCATTTTTATATGCATCGATGTGTAGGTTATCGATAGATTGATGTATTCACTCGAAAAGCCTATGCGTGAAAAGGCTTGTGTTTTGAGGAATCTAATGGAATTAGATACCAAATCTTAATGTTATGTGGGCCAAACAGAATCAAGCATTCTTCAGCGTCATGGTAGAATTGTTTAGATTCCATGTCTTGTGCTGTGTTTGTGGTTTACAGTGATCGTCTTGTAGTTTTTAGGTATCTAATGGAATTAGATACCAAGTATTAATGTTATGTGGGCCAAACAGAATCAAGCATTCTTCAGCGTCATGGTAGAATTGTTTAGATTCCATGTCTTGTGCTGTGTTTGTGGTTTACAGTGATCGTCTTGTAGTTTTGAGGTACCAAATTTTAATGTAATGATGGCCAAACAGAATCAAGCATTCTTCAGCGTCATGGTAGAATTGTTTAGTGTCCCTGTCTTGTGATGTGCTTGTGGTTTACAGTGATCTTCTTGTAGGAAACAACTGTAAATATAAGGACGTAATCATCAAAGCCGGGGAGAAGTACCAGCCGGACCCCAACACTGTGTGCAGCTGTTCTACTGACTTCTCGTACCTGTTCGGCCCGCATGGACACGAAGCTCTGTGTTTGCATAGGGCTACTGACGTCAAGGCCGTCAACGTGGTGTAGCTACTTTTATCTGACTGCCCCAGACGCGAACCCCACCGATTCTTGAAAAAAAGTTTTATTTGAGTCAAATTACTTGCTTGTTATTTGTTCTTTTTTAAGTATTGATCCACTTTTTCACTGTTTTGTTTGTTGTTTAACGCCGCACTGAGCTATGTTCCAGGCATATGAAGGCAGTGTGTTAATAATCGAATTTGGACCAGACAATCCAGTGATTGAGATCATGAGCATATATCTACGCTTTGTTTGTTTGCTGTTTAACGCCTCAATCAGCAATATTCAAGCTATATGACGGCGGTCTGTAAATAATCGAATCTGGACCAGACAATCCAGTAATTGACATCATGAGCACCGACCCACTCAATCAGGATACAATGACATACATCAACCAAGTCATCGAGTCTGACCACCTGATCCTGTTAGTTGCCTCTTACGACAAGCGTATTGTCGGTTTTTTTACGGCAAGCATGGGTTGCTGAAGACCTATTCTACCCCGGAGCTTAACAGGTCTATATCTGCGCAATTGGGATACGATAACATGCATCAACCAAGTATGCGAGCCTGACCTCCCGATCCCATTTAGTCTTCGATTTCAAGCATGGGTTGCTGAAGACCAATTCTAACCCGGATCTTCACGGGAGACCAGAAAAATAAGATTATGGTGTATATGAAGAAAGAGAATAATGCTGGCGTGGACTTGTTTCTCTGAACGCGAGATGGCTGTTAGATTGAATATTAATAAGTTTGAAGTCGAAGACTCGATCGTTCCTCACGGACAATTGGCTTCATGTCTGTCGTGCATTTTGCCTTTAGCCGGCTGTATGTCGCGAGTGGGCCTACATGGCCACAACAACAGGAGAACTACAAAACATAAAGATATATTTGCCAGAAGGCCAGAAGGCCAGACGGTCAGAAGGCCAGAAGACCAGAAGCCAGAAGGTCAGAAGGCCAGAAGATCAGAAGGCCAGAAGGCCAGAAGTCAGAAGGTCAGAAGGCCAAAACCAGAGCACTACAATATCCTACATTCTCGTATCTGAATCACACCAGTCCAGACGAACCTAGGAGTGACATATTCAGGAAAAACTACATGACCTCGATAGACGATGAACGGCGGGGTAATCATGTGGTTTAATAGTTCTGTTTCGCTGACGATTAACCAGATTTGATTCCTTACATGGGTACACATCGATGTAGGAAGGGGAGGTAGGGGAGTATAGATGGATAAAATGACGACTCGTCATGCAGAACATCCGGGTTCTTTACCCATTTGGTTGACAATAGTACAAGCGTCATTCTGTCCACAATGATGGGGCTGGACTTCCCTTAAAGCCCATGAGACTCTCTCTCACACTTTGACAGACGAACAACTGTGATTTAAACTCACTATTCATTTCTAGAAAACGGTTAAAAGTGATACAAATCTATATTTATTCACACCGAGGTGCATTCTGCCTTAAGGACCATGTTCCCGAATCCCATGTGGGATGGACCATTGTTGCACTGACACGAAGTCGCAGGGTCAGGGTGATAAACATCGCCCATCTTGATGGTGACGTCACCGTGCTTGCAGTTCCAGCCTGGAAGACAAAACATGGAGAGTATGCGAAGCAGATGCATGACTAGCACATTACGGCAGCAACACGACATGATGTACAATTGATAAAATAACAGTTGAAGCATTTTCGGAAGATACATAACAGGCATTCCAAAGAAACCAGAAGAGCAACTGAACTATGGTGTATGTACACACTTCACACAAATTACAAATAACAAACAGGACACAATTCCCTTAAAGTGTGCTTCGTAATGATTAAAACCCGCCACTTTTTCAATGGAATCAAACACAGTAAAATAAGCAGACCGCAACAAACCGAGTGCGCATGCGTCTCTCCATTGAAAATGTGGCGGGTTTTAATCATAACGAGGCAAACTTATCGGGATTGTGGCTTGTTTATTATTTGTGTAGATATTTTCTGTTACATATTCCATAGTTTGGTTGCTCTCTATGGGGTTTCCTTGGTAGGCCTGAATAGAAAGCTGTAACTGCAGCTGTAAATTATTTTGAAGATGGTGCTTCATGTGCTTCAGGTTAAAATGTTTCTGGGATAGTTCTTGGGATTCATCCGATGGAGAGGCAGGATTCACCTGATTTAAAGAGATTGACATGATGGAGGGTCAGGATTCAGGTAAACATTTCTATTTGGGAAAGTTATTGATAGGTAAGTTAACGAACCATTTGGACAGGTTGAACAGCACTGATCTGGTTGTTTCACAGCATCAACACACAAGGCAAGTGCGCAGTCCATGTATGCGCAGACTGCTTGACCGGAAGTTCCACAGAAACACCTCTCACACGGTGTTGGACTGAAATGCTGTCCAATCTTGTAGTATATGCCCCGGTGCTCGCATGTGTTTGGCATAGTAGTAAGGATGAGAGGGGTGGTGCTGATGACGGCTGTCAGGCCCGAGCTCACCAGGCCGAGGAGGAGGAGGAAGACTCTGATCATCTGTCCAGTCTTGGGGCAGCAGGTCAGAAAGGACGGCCAACTTTAGAAATGACGGTTTCGCTGTGAAATTCTTTATCTTGATTTCAAGATATAGGTCGCGAGAGTTGGTATAACACGTATGTTAGATGGCCACGTGACATATAAGGCGTGTCAGTTCTGATCTGGCACTTAGTTATACCACTGAAAATAAGTTAAGGAGGACCGGTTGTTTCATATTACTATAGTCATATAGTAATATGAAAGAATTGGGTAGTCCTTAACTTCTTTCAGTAGTATAAGTAACGGAGTGATATCATCTGAAGATTAGGGTTCCAGATGTTATTATATCCAACTATACCAGCGTATAAGAATTAAAATACTAGAACTGGGCCCCTTAACATTACAACAATTCTATCAAAAGTTAAGAGTCTCCTTTCACGATTACCCTGCTTAATAGTAGGCGTACGACGTGTACTTAGTTTTTATTCCCCAATGTTAACATAACGGGGAGTTTTATACATTAATATACGGGGTGTTCTGTGTATCAATATACAGGGAGTTCTATGCATCACTATACAATGTGCTCTATGTATCAATCAATAATCAGGGAGTTCTATGTATCAATATACACGGTGTTCTCTGCACCAACATCCGGGGTGTTCTATGTATCAACATCCGGGATGTTCTATGTACCAATAGAATGAACTGTTCTATTATCAACAAAGCGGGCTCTTCTATGTTTTGAACATTATTCAAGTTATGTCAAGGTATGTAATTTTTTATAGGAAAGCTAGAAGTGCTGCAGGTTTTAGACGTTTTTTTCTAGTTTGGTGAAACTCATGAGATAACAAAACGGGGGAATCGGGACATCTTGAATTCAAACCCTCGATTATAGGATTCTGGCACGAGTAAGGGACGCAGCTCCCTCGAAGGGGCGCCTTAGAAGATTGGACAACACTTGTTCCTGATAGTACAAAGCTACAATGCCTGACATTATCAACATACTGCCTAATTAGATAATATAATTAAGTCTTAAAGACTACAGACAAATTAGCTCGCATTTAGACACATTATTCAGTAATTTAGGCATCAAGGCCCATAGTACAATGCAGATTGGATATTAATATTTGTCACGTGACGTACATGATTAGATTTTAAATCAAGTTACACATTCCTCATTATAAAGACATGTTTAAAAAATCAGAAACAGCATGGATCATATCAGGTTTTAGCAGTTTAGCAGATTTATCATTTAAAAATAACTTGCAACATGGGAAGAATTTTTTACCTTAAATGGGAACACGTTTCACATATAAGTAAGACATGGTATTCATCCTTTACTTCTCCGGATAAACGGTTTGTAAAAATAGAGTTTCACCGTCTTTAGACCTGCGACATACATTTACATTAAAATAGAGCAATGAAATTCTAAGTTTACAATAAGCTCTGATTAAACTTTTGTCATTTAAACAAGTTAAATATCTTTCAGTTTGTAACAATGATTTTACTTTGCTGTAATTGTAATAAAGTGATTCAGAAATACTTTAGTGCCACTGTTGACAAATTATATTCTTCAGTCTTTGCTTAAATGAATATAAAAATAAATGTGGATCTCCCACATCTTGAGAAATCCATACATATGAAAAGCCACTAATAAATAATAGATTTCTCACATCTGAAACCCAATTATTTTTACCATTATCATCAAATAACTCTAACATTTTGTAACACTGATATGGGTATCTATCAGGCATCATTCTCAGTAATTTAATCCAATACTTAATTACCCTTAATTGGCTGGCTACAATAATATTACTACGGCCTGTTTCACCAAGGATTGACCTGTTTAAAGGCAAACTTACCAACACGTAGAAAACATTATAAATATGAAGTGTGAACTTTTTCAATTGCAACGTAACACTTAGCACCCCATATTTCAGAACCTGTACAAAAGTATAGGCATAATTTTGCCTTCAGAAATAGTACATGCTGTGGAAAAAGACACGCGACTATTTTTCCTGAATAAATTATAAAGATGCAATAATGGCTTTCGACGCTTGAACAGCTAGTTGCTTACATGCCTTAGACCATGACAATCTAGAGGAGAACATAAGACCTAAATATTTATAGTAAGTGACTACACTCAAGGCAGACGAACCAAGAAACCACTTTTCATGTTCTGCTCGCATTAAGATTTCCAACAAAGCCCTGATAAGATCATTGATCACAGCTGATCGACCTACATACCTTTGATAAAACGGTTAACCGCCTAAATAATCTAACACGAGTAAGCTCCCCGTGTTGTCAATGTGAACTGAGATCAGAATATGGTTTAAGGGGTAATATAATACGCAGGTTGCGCAATAGAACTGCTGTGTAGAAACTGTTTAAGCAAACATCACGAGTGTAATTGCTGACGAGGATGTTCCTATAAGGCATAAAAGCTGGTAGAAACGCATCTTCCGGAGTCAAGGGAGTTAACTGACTGTAAAAGTCCAGTTTCAACCCTTGCCGAACTTGGCTGATATGTTTTGACTTGGCTTACGAGTGCACAGTCCAATTAAAATCGCTTAACGAAATCGACATCCGATTCCTTAACTGCCGTGCAGGATTTCAGGATTTACAAGGCATGTATACTGTCAAATGGTCCTCGACATAAATGTTCGAAAACCTCTCGTGTTTGTAATCCAGTAATATTATGCACTTCGCGAAATAAAATCTGTTTTATTACAATACAGATCTTGTTTATCGATCACAGCCCGACTTGACTGGGTGCCAACATTTTGTTTGAAGCAAATGCAAGTAATATGCTAGATGGAATCTGATTGGTCAATGGGAGGGACAAAGAAGGGACACAACTCGTAAAAGCCACTGGTGGTGCTACGATCGAGCCACGAAATTCCAGCTTAGTCCGACAAGTGTGGAAACTGGATCTACAGTCAGTTAACTCCGTTGCCCCGGGAAGATGGTAGAAACGTCACCTATCTTCAGTATTGCTATCCCAAACCGAGAGAGATTGTTGTCGGGATTCCGCCCGGTAGCCGTCTTGTCGGGGTGATACTCGAGCAACATGTCGCCTACTTCGAAATTGATCATCAAGAGATACCAACGCTTACTTCGCCATTAGAATGCTTCCATGCATTCTGACAAGCAGCATGTGACCTCGTCACAAACCCCGGTCTGAGGCTTGACATCCCCACAGCGACCGCGCAGCCACCCCTCGGGGTGCTAGGCGGTGGGGATGGAGCGCCGAGGGCCCCTTCTGTCACAGGACTTGTGGGTGAAGTATGTACACATTCTCACCCCATACTTGTCACTGACGGGGCCGTGTTTTCAACGAGATGCCCCATATGTGTACTCGGAAACTCCGGGGGAATATCTACTAGTAAGTATGTGGGAATAATGTGTCTGTTTACTGATATGTGTGCCATATTCATATTATATGCATTTCAAATTCATATTTTTTTAATTTATTTTTTATATATTGCTGTTCACAGTTGCATCGCTTAGGCATGCCAGAAAAACATGACCGGTGGTTCCAATCCCAGACGCCCCGATTATGTATATGTGTTTGTCAGCACCATACCCGTCTTCGTGAGTTTCACCAAAGTGGTAAAACCAAACTGGATCTGCATTTCTTCGGGTCTTCATCTTCATGAAGCGAAGACGCCATGTCATAAGTGAAATACTGTTCAAAGTGGCGTTAAACAAATCTAACGAGCTCATGTCCATAGTATATGTATAATCGTCGGGTTGTTTCACAAGCAACAAACCGCGATTTCAGTTTTACACTGAAAGCAAACGAACCCTCACAAAATAGATCACAAAGAACAGTTGATGTCTTTCATTCAGATGATTGGTCCACCCAGAGTATCCCGAATAATGCATTAAACTTGAACACAAATTAAGGGTTAGTAACCTTTGTTGGCCTTTGTAGTAGGAACGAGTATCTGAATCTCGTGGTAACATTCCTCATCCTTAGAATCTTTACGGTAGCGGTGTCTCCCACAGCGATTACTTCCCTTCCATAATTACGTCTTATACTGGTCAGTCTCAAGTCCCTCAGCCTAAAAAATGTTCCCTTCCGTCCAGCCCTTACTGTAAAGCTATAGTCCTAAATGAAGCATTTTCAATTTAAATGGAGTTGTTTGTTTCTATCAAAATTATATATTTTCAGAGACTGAGCGTCGGTGTAGGTTCGAACATGTGCATGTCCCGAGGACAAACAGATTATATCAGTCTGATCTATAATTTGACAATTGCTTTTGACTAAGATATTCTGCAACCCATGCTGAGGGGAGACCGGGATTGGGTGGTCAGTTGCGTAGATAGCGCAGATCGATGCTCATGTCAATTGCTGGATTGTCTGGTCCAGACTCGATCATCTACAGACCACCGTCATACAGTTGGAAACGTTCTGAGTGCTGCGTTAAACAAACAAACAAACAAACAAACAAAACACTAAGCGAATTTAAAGCTGTAACGTTTTGAGCAGTAAGAGTGAGTAAGTATGGTTATATGCCGCATTTAGCAATAGTCCAGCAACATCACGGCGGGCAACACCAGAAATGGGCTTCACACATTGTACCCATCTGAGAAATCGAACCCAGGTCTTCAGCGAACGCTTTAACCACTAGACCAGCCCACCGCCCCTTGAGCAGTAAGAGGGGCGGTCGGGTAGCCTAGTGGTTAAAGCGTTGGCTCGTCACGCCGAAGACCCGGGTTCGATTCCCGACATGGGTACATTGTGTAAGGCCATTTCTGGTGTCCACCGCCGTGATATTGCTGGAATATTGCTAAAAGCGGCGTAAAACCATACTCAGTCAGTCAGTCAGTTGAGCAGTAAGAAGCGTGGGTAGACGTAGGTTGGACCATACTGGTGATCAACAAAACAAATGACCAATGACCAATGACAGCTATTTGTTATTATTATCATCATCATATTATCAGGGTTAAATGTTAATCGCACAGAGCATCAGTAAAGGTGCCCTGGGCATTAGGGCTGTGCTGGTACGGGTTGATGTTGCACTGACACTGAGTTCCGTTTCCTAGCCTGTACACCTCGCCGTGCTTGATGACGTGGCCGCCATGTTGGCAGTTGTGACCTGGAGGAGAAGGTCAGTTAACAGATCAATTGTTTGGAGCGGCTGAGGTCGGGGGACGATGGTACACAATTAACCAGATGTCAGGTATTGCCCAACTTCCTTAGTTGCATCCCCTTAGGCGCTAATGTGCTTTGAGTAAGTGAGTGAGTATGGTTTTACGCCACTTTCAGCAATTTTCCAACAATATCAAATACGCTACACATATTCTACATATGTGGATAATGGAACCAGGGTGTTCGGCGTGACGAGTGAAGGCTTGACCACAAAGCTACCACACACATGCTGTGACATGCCTAACTGTGGTGCTCTGGCTTGACTAACTGTGGTGCACTGACTGCCATTGGCTACTGGCGTTTCATTACACTCCATATCCATACTCAAGAAAGAGATCGAAGATTGATAATCGCGGCGTAAAACAACATTCACATTATACTCGCCATCTTTAACTAGGACAACTCATTCCTGTATTGTTTACCGCCTCCGTGGTCTAGTGGTAGAGCGTCCCCCCGGAGAGCGGAAGGTCCGGGTTTCGATCCCCGGCCGCGTCATACCAAAAGGCGTTAAAAGATGGTACGTGTTGTTACCCTGTCTGGCGCTCAACATAAAACAAGGACTGGTCGGCTCGGAGTCAGTATACTGTGTCTGAGTGGGATATTCATGTTAAACTGCGGCATGGTATCTCAATGAGCTAGCACTATAAATCGGCATCAGTCCGGACTAGTACAAGCAGCCACACAAACACACACACGTACATGCACGTCGCTATATAAGTGCAATAATCTTGGACGCGACGTTAAACCCCATTTCACCTCACCTGTATTGTTAGAACACGCCCTTCAAGCAGATCTTTTACTCACTCACACCACTCGCTCACACAGCCAACCCATATATGCATGGATAGGGGTGCAGGGCGCACTTGTTTTAAACATATCACTCACGTTTAAACTGAATCATAGGCTGACATAATTTCAACAGAAATAACAATTATTAGACAAATGTTTTTGGACACAAGCACAAGTTGTTTCCAGTATTTGAATTAATATTGCATTTTTATATTTGAATTACACTCCCAACCCTTCTGAAAGAAAGCTGTGTTCATGATGACGCTTGCTATACAAAAACCTACATACACACCTATCCCCTCCCTCACTAACTCACTGCTACTCACCATTGGGACACGTGCGACAACATTCCCCCTTCTTCTGGACACTGTCCACACACATGACGGGTGGACAATCAAAGGTTGTGCAGGCCACAGACGGCGCCACGCACAGACACACCTGGCACGGAGACGGATGGAACTGCTCGTCTATTGCGTACTGCTTCCCGAGAAACATGCAGTAATCTGCTGCCATGACAACCGTTGGTATGGCAACAAGTGCCAGCATGTAGATCATTGTGGTTTGGATTGGGTTGTTCTGTTCAGCATTGTCGAAATGCTTGGACGCAATATTGTGGGAATTGTGACGCTGACAGGTGTACCTGAGCGCATATTTTTTAATTATTTCGAGATAAGGTAGAAATAGATATTCTTACCCTGTAGGTAAGACGAGCAATGAGTCTTATCCAAATAGTCCATATTCTAACTGTTGCTAATTACGTGACACAGTACATGCAGCTTTTCTGCACACCGCCGTTTGACTCCGATTCTCTGTCACTAACCAGCTGGTAATCATGGGATATAGAGTTAGCGAGATGTCACCATGCTACACGGAACCACGGGTACACATACGTATCTAGGTGTCATGTGTCGAATTCCTAATTGAAACAATAAGTAAACCCAGACATCTATACCTACAAGAATTCGGTCTGAAACCATCAAACAACAAACAAATGTTATACAATTAACAATTGTATAAAAAAATAAACTTAGGTATACAAATCAATTTGAATTACTGCACAGCAATTACAATGGCAGTACACAATAAAGTGACAATGCTAAATTCAATGGCAGTGTAAAATATAATAGCAGTGGTGATAGCAAACAATGAGTGATAATAATATTCACCTAGCAGCAACAGTGGTCAAGCTTCAGTGGTCTTCACACATCCTCTAGTCTTGATGTAATGTGAGAGGAAATGTAAGATGAAATGAGGCACACCCTTGCCCCCTTATATCGTCTAAATACCTCCTTGAAGCTTCCATACAGTGCTGGATTAGTCTAACTACTCCAGAAGAATCTACACTTACTACAAAAAAACACATCCAAATATAGTAAATTCCACACCACTGCTTACATTATATAGCACTACATTCCTGACAACTAACCAATTAAAACACAGTGCTATGAGTTTCTAATGAATCTCAACATAAACAATGTAATACAATTACAACATTGTTCAACAATACATTACACTGCCATGTGAGACTTTCCCCATTCGCAAAAAGTACAAAAACTGATAAGAACGGTAAATAATAGTAAACAATACACGTGAAAAATTGTCACAAATATACAAACCATATCTGCAGTCAAAACTGATCAACCTCAATCTACTCGTGATAATGCATTAGCAATAATGTTGTATTTGCCTTTAATATGCTTGATGTCTAAATATAATTCCCGCTAAGAGGAGCGCAGGTCATTAGGCATTGATTTTTGTTCTTCATTTTACGAATAAAGGTCAGTAGACTGTGAACAATGTACACTTGAATAAAAACAAAGTAGTATCCAAATACACTTCTTTTGTTGCGAAGCTAACGACAGTGCAAGAGTTTCTTTATCAATAGTGGAATAATCTGATGTCTGTTACATTTTCGTAAATAATAACAAACGGGATGATCAAAGCCTGGTGCATCCTCCTGTATCAGGACAGCGCCAGCATCAGCACCAAAGTCATGCTAGCATCTACTGCCAATCTGAAAGGTTTTTCAACATTTGGTGATTGGAGAACGCGAGAATTCATGAGAATAACTCAAAAGCAGCCTGACAATTGCTGTTCCAAACAAATTTTACCCTTTTGCCCTGCAAGTTAGTGAGAGCGGCGACCACATGTGAGAAATGTCTGACAATATTTTAGGTAGAACCCATCCATACTGAGAAATCTCACAACTTCCTTTTTGTGTCTGGGAACTTCTGTGAAACTCGAAGAAGGTGCTGATCCTCTTGAGGTCTGCGTCCCGCTCCATGGAATGGTTGATGACACCATCAATGTAGGCTGTGACACCTTCACGATTGGCCGTAATGCCATTGATGAGACACCGGGAGGTGGCTGGAGCGTTCTTTAGCCCAAATGGCATCACTTTGTATTGACAAAGTCCATCTGGAGTCAGTCAGGGAATCTGCCAATACACCTTCAATAGTCAAACTTGCTGATGTTACTTGGCTTGACCGATTCTGCTGATGCTGTCATCTTTTCTTGGTATTGGGTAAGAGTCAGTTTTAGAAATAGCGTTCACCCGATTCATGTCAGTACAGCAATGGTAACTACCACGAGGTTTCGGCACAAGACTGCAAGGTGAACTCCAGTCAAAATGACGTGATTCACTAATTTTATTGAACTTCCTCCTTCAGGGCTTCAAGCTTGATTGGCTTCATCCGATAGCGCCACCTACATCTACATCATGACAGACTAAATCTGTATGGCTGGATACATCCGTGAACAAGAGAGCAAACTCCTGAATTTACTTTGACACAGAACCGTTTGCTCAGATGACAAATGACCTAAAATAAGATCTAAGCCAGCTAAATCTTCATAATTGTTTAGCCTAGGTCTAGCAAAGTCAGCAATGCCATCAAAATTGACAATGTCACAATTCTCATCAGCATCACAATCTGATACAATATCTACAAGAGTGGCAAAACACTGAGTAGGTACATTGTCATTTCTTGCATGATATTTTCTATTCTATGAACTTCTCCTGAATGCCAACAAAAACTGGGTAAAACAATTACAACATCGTTCAATAATAAATTACACTGACATATAAATCTAGATCACTCAACTTTATGTTTGACATCAGCCATTGATTATTTTTTTTAACACAATCACCTAACAGAGCGGACATTCGAGTAGTCATATCCGTAAAACAAATGGCTGTTACACTAAGTCAAGTTAATAATCAAAGTAGTACATATTTTAATTAAAAGAGTACGAAACCAATAATATATTAGTTAAGACCACTATATGCCAACTACCAGATATCGCCAAATACACAGCAAGATATCGCCAATGGCCCAATGAAGGATTTTGAAGGGCACTTTTGTGAACCTCGCTTTTAACAATAGCCCAGTTATACCTGGGCGTGTTAGTTTAGTGTTTGGGGAAAGTCCACAGTAATGGCGTGTATCTCTCTGATGAAAGCCAATGGCATGGTTACTGTGAAGAGATCTAGAGACAAAGGTCAGACAGGGGATCCTGGTAGTTAACGATACAGGCCCAAGTCCTTGGAATACTAATCTCACATAGTTATAAGCAGCTCCCTGCTCATTATCTCAGACAAAACCACGACAGCTGTGAGGTAGGTGTAACCGAGAATGTGAACTGCCTACCTGGCCAGTATGTACTGGCACACCAGGAGTGGGAATCCGGCTAGGAGGGGCCGAGACTCCATTCTTAGAATAGGCCTACATGCAGCTAGGCTAGGAGCTAGGCTGTGGATCCATTCTTAGAATAGGCCTACATGCAGCTAGGAAAGGAGCTAGGCTGTGGATCCATTCTTAGAATAGGCCTACATGCAGCTAGGAAAGGAGCTAGGCTGTGGATCCATTCTTAGAATAGGCCTACATGCAGCTAGGAAAGGAGCTAGGCTGTGGATCCATTCTTAGAATAGGCCTACATGCAGCTAGGAAAGGAGCTAGGCTGTGGATCCATTCTTAGAATAGGCCTACATGCAGCTAGGAAAGGAGCTAGGCTGTGGATTCATTCTTAGAATAGGCCTACATGCAGCTAGGAAAGGAGCTAGGCTGTGGATCCATTCTTAGAATAGGCCTACATGCAGCTAGGAAAGGAGCTAGGCTGTGGATCCATTCTTAGAATAGGCCTACATGCAGCTAGGAAAGGAGCTAGGCTGTGGATCCATTCTTAGAATAGGCCTACATGCAGCTAGGAAAGGAGCTAGGCTGTGGATTCATTCTTAGAATAGGCCTACATGCAGCTAGGAAAGGAGCTAGGCTGTGGATCCATTCTTAGAGTAGGTCTACACGCAGCTAGGTACAGGGGCCAGACAGTGGATCCATTCTTAGAGTAGGTCCACACGCAACTAGGTACAGGGGCCAGACGGTGGATCCATTCTTAGAGTAGTTCCACACGCAACTAGGTACAGGGGCCAGACGGTGGATCCATTCTTAGAGTAGGTCCACACGCAACTAGGTACAGGGGCCAGACGGTGGATCCATTCTTAGAGTAGGTCTACACGCAGCTAGAAAGGGTCTAGGCTGTGGATCCATTCTTAGAGAAGATCCACACGCAGCTAGGAAAGGGGCTAGGCTGTGGATCCATTCTTAGAGAAGATCCACACGCAGCTAGGAAAGGGGCTAGGCTGTGGATCCATTCTTAGAGAAGGTCTACACGCAGCTAGGAAAGGGACTAGGATGTGGATCCATTCTTAGAGTAGGTCCACACGCAGCTAGGTACAGGGGCTATGCTGTGGATCCATTCTTAGAATAGGTCCACACGCAGCTAGGAAAGGGGCTAGGATGTGGATCTATTCTTAGAATAGGTCCACACGCAGCTAGGGAAGGGACTAGGATGTGGATCCATTCTTAGAATAGGTCCACACGCAGCTAGGGAAGGGACTAGGATGTGGATCCATTATTAGAATAGGTCCACACGCAGCTATGGAAGGGGCTAGGCTGTGGATCCATTCTTAGAGTAGGTCTACACGCAGCTAGGTACAGGGGCTATGCTGTGGATCCATTCTTAGAGAAGATCCACACGCAGATAGGAAGGGGCTAGGCTGTGGATCCTTTCTTAAAGTAGCTCTACAAGCTACACCTGAGAAACTGAGACGTATTACATGTATTGTGTATGCCGATTGTACGAGTGGCGGGCAATCGCCATTGTATAAACTGTCTGCCTCGTTCATTGTGAATATTGTACATTTTAAATGGTTGTTGCTACAATCGTCAATTCCAAGTTCCTCTTTAAAAATGATTGTTTAGTGTATATTTAAGGACTTAAGTGGTATTTGTTGACGATCATCAGCAGATGGAGACAGTCGATCAGCGAGCAAAGTTGTAACTGAAATAACGCCATCGAATATATAACTTAAACACAATCCTCTAATAATACTTGTTCGAAGATTAAATGATTACATAACGCGAACTGTAATGTTGTTTACTACGTCCCTAATATTCGATTGTGAGTGACCTCCCTTAGACTGGCAAGTAACAAAATGGCCGCTGTACTGCTGCTAATGTTCATCAACGCGTATGGCAACGTCGAGGTATTTCCAGAGGCAATGGAGCATCGTGTAGAACTGAGACATGTCTTTTGGTATGTCGTGTTATCTCTGTTGTAACTACAAATAGACGTTTCAGTGTCCTGACATAAATACAGTAAAGTACGGTTATAACGAACTCAAAGGGACTACTAATTTTAGTTCGCTATAACCGTAGTTCGTTATAAGCATATATACAGCATAACTACAGCAAATAGTTGGGACCAAAAATGTAAGTTCGTTATATCCGTAAGTGCGTTATAAGCGTGTTCGTTATATCCGTAGTTTACTGTATTATCTTCCTCGGCTCGAATCTGGATCAGTCATTGCCTGAACAGAGGTTCTCTTAAACAGTGCGCTGTGTTACAGTGGATCTGTCAAATCAGGAACTATGTATAATCCCTGACATTGTTAGGGAATATGTGTAATGTATGATACACGCAGGGAATATACATAATCCCTAAAAGATTTCAGGTAGTATACATATTGAGGGGATTTAACAATGTTTTTAGACATGTTCCCTAAAACTACTTCATTCCTGTTTGTTAGAAGAATTATTCTCTCAAGTAACAGTAACAATAATAATTAATAAGAAATGACAAATGATTTCATATATAATTAGCATACATCAGTACCAACTTCTTCAAACGTAATAATGTCACCCTTGCAGGAAGAGGCAAGTTATCAAAAGTTATCAACATGCGACCAATAATATCTCTGTTATTTAGTTTTTATTGACACATTGACACAGGCTTGTGTGGCAACGAGAATTACATTGAATCATCTACTCCCGTTGGTCTGGCATTTCTTGGTACCAACACAGTTACATCATGTAAAACCTTGTCCACCACAGTTGGATTCAAACTGCACATCTTTAGGTATCAAGACGCTTTTGTTGTCATCATAGTGCATGTCCAGGTTCTTTCGAAAATCCTCCTCAAATTCCATTGAGTGAGTTTGGTTTTACGCCGCTTTTAGCAATATTCCAGCAATATCACGGCGGGAATGGGCTTCACACATTGTACCCATGTCGGGAATCGAACCCGGGTCTTCGGCGTGATGAGCGAACGCTTTAACTACTAGGCTACCCGACCGCCCCTCCATTTTAGAAATGTGAGGGAGTACATACTGTCAGCAACTTTATACCTTGAATATCGCCAAAACAACGCGTATGATTTGTTTGTACTTTCTAACAACTATGAATTATGACCATGTGTTGTTACATAAGTTAGTGTCCTCGTATTCATTAACTTGTTTGACAGGCATTACCCAGAAGCTGACGGGTGACAAGGCAGACACAATTTTATGGATAACAACTTCTTTAATACTGTTCTGTACTTTGTCCCTCATTCCTTCATTCTTGACAGCGGTATAAGGATCGATACCGAAACATCGCTTTTTACAGTTTTAAAGAAGTTGTCATCCACAAAATTGTGTCTACCTTCTCCTATTCAGTGTTAGGGACGCTGTCACGCCTATACTAACGCTGTTTCGATTACTGTGTTGACAGATTGTTCCATCAACCAGGCTACATACATGTGCATATGTTTTTTAAAAACCCTTTCTTTTGATAAACCCATTAACGATGTTATATTGACACTTGAGAGAATAATTCTTCAGACAACCATGAATGAAATAGTTTCAGGGAATATGTCTAAAAAAAGTGTTGTTGAATCAGGGGATACGTATATCACATGAAAAATGTATGGATTATGTATATTCCCTGCGTGAACCAGACATTACATATATTACCTGAACATTTATATATTATACGTTTTTGGTGAATTTGTGCAATCTAAAGAATTTCGGGATCGTGAACCGTGCATGTTCGACCTCCGTTTATAAAGTAGTTACTGATTATGTAATCATCATCACGTGACATACTGACGTTCATCGGGAAATGAAAGACAGTCACTGCAGTAGAGCTGATCTAAGGGACGTTAGCCACCACTGTAAATATATATATTTGTTCTTTCTTACAATAGGCATTTGAATTATTAAATTGTTTCTTGGACAGTGCTGAATAGGTCCTTGAACTTTGCCGCTACTATTCCTTCTGACCTCAATCAAAATAAGTGTCATCCATTGACAAATGCATTGACAAGCCCTTTTCTCCATATATGGTTACAATCTGTCATCACAGAGACAATTAATGTGCCATGTTTCAACAGGTTTGAGCAAGATGTTGGGTTGTGTCGTGCTCTTATTACTGTTAGGAACAGCTTGTTCGACGCCGAAGAAAGGGTTTGGAATGAACTATGTCAACTTCAACTGTAATGACGAGAACACCTTGTCAGACGCCACCTGGTGGTAGGTACAGTTTATTTTTTATAAACACGTCATAATTCATCAATGCCAAGTCATCACCGTAATGCTAGGTGAATTCAATATTAAATCGTTCTGTAAGCAAATACTGTCAAAACAGTACAAACTGATAGTATTAAACGAGAACGCTTCACTGTTAGTACCTTTCATCGTGAATGTGAAGGTAGCTAGAATATTCTAGGATTGAGGAAACAGTTCTGTCTCTAGCAAATACTATTTGTTTCGATTTAATCACATCAGACTGCATTGTGTCCATTCACATTTGTAACAATATACAAGTCAAAAAGAAAAAGTTACATCTTCATTTAAACCTTACCATGAGAAAACCATGCGTACGAGACACAGGTGAGGATGTCCTCGACCTTCCTGTGGGACCTTCCTGTCGTGTGAGAAGGTCAAGACCACGATATAATTTGGAGCAGCCAATGAAATAGCTTTGTTTAATGAGGTCTCGGATGAGGACATTGACATGGTCACGTGAGAACATTCAATATTCAACTTGACATGATAGACATAGTACTAACTAACAGAAAACACTCACAGAATACGCTAGTCCTGCACCATGACCGTGGAATATATTTATTTTATGAAAAAATAATAATCTAGAAATGCATACAAAAGCAAGTCTAGCCAGCTCAAGCTAGCTCTAAATCAGCATAGGGAAATTTTTTTATTTTTAGAGTCAAGAAGGATATTGTGTAATATAAGATTTCAGAGACTAAATGTTAGTCTAAGAAGACGCTGATGCATGAATATAACCCGAAACAAGATTGTAATGATGCGTGATACAGTGACGCTCAGAATACGTTTAGTTTGATTGTGTTGGTGCTTTTAAAACATGAGTATATGGACCAGAAAACCGTATGTTTCACTGACCTGCTTCAAAATGGCCTGTTCTTGTTACTAACTGCACCACAAAGAATTCAGTAAACTGAGTAATGAACTGGCAAACGTATTATGGATAGAGAAGGCCAAGGCCCTCTCCTAATGTTATATTCCCCACAATGTCTTCGGGTGTTATATGGAGGCCTCTGTGAGGTTTTCTCCACTTTTGGCAGTATTCCAGCCATATCACACCAGAAATAGGTTGCACACATTGTACCCATGTGGGGATTTCAACTCGCGTCTTGGGCGTGACGAGCGAACACAGCGATTCGCCATACAACTATGCGCTAACTTTCAGCCGCTTGCAAGCGCAACAATCGCTGCCTGAGGTCGCTTCGTTCTCAAACCAAAATGGCGTCTGAATCTGACAGTGGAACAAGAAATTTTTGACTGGATCACCTGGGAAATGATCAAAGGCAGCTAACATAGCAACATCTTTCGTCTGCTCCACATCTTCAAAGTAGTCATAGATTTCATCAGTTCGTCTTTGAGCCTCTTCTATTACATGGCAAGACAACCATTTGTTGCGCCGCCATTTTGGAAGAGTGCGCAAGCGCTTCGAGGCTTACATCGCGCCCCAGTAGTCAGGCAGTTGGCGTGGTCCAATTTGTTTCAGTGAATGGGAATATTGATTAGTTGGTTAGCCAATCCAATGACATGGAATCACTTCAATGTATAAATATTGTGTAATAATAACATTTATCCTCTACCTTCAGGTATGACTGGAAACCCACACCGGACGAAGTGGTGAGGCATGGGTGCCACCAATCCAAGGAATATGTGCCAATGATATGGGGTTGGAATTCTACAGGCAGCAACAACTTGAATATACCATCCTCGGCCAAATATGTCCTTGGGTTTAATGAGCCGAACCAAAAAGACCAGTCGAATGTATCTCCCCAAGAGGCCGCAAGACACTGGCCAGAAATCGAGCGTCATGCTCAAAACAAACTTCTTGTGAGTCCATCTCCTTCCGGTTGTAATGGCGGCAGTAACTGCAACATGAATTCCACTCTATGGTTGGATGAATTTTTTAAAGCGTGTCAAGGCTGCCGTGTTGATTTCATCGCCGCACATACATACTCCTGTAATGCAGACCATGATATGAGATACTTGGAGAAGATGTACAATCGATACAAGAAGAAGGTCTGGCTCACGGAGTTTGGTTGTCCACACACGTCCCACTCACACATCCTGAACTACATGAAACAGATCCTTCCGCGCCTGGAAAACGCTCACTTTGTTTACCGATACGCATGGTTCATCACGCGCTGGAAGGATGATGGCTTCCTGACCACTGCTACCGATCTGTTACAACTGGATTCGTCCGCGTCGAAACTGACAGCGCTGGGTCAGTACTACAACAACTTCCGCCACAAGTAACCGAACAGGAAACAGTGTGCAACATAAGAAGCCATGACATGTATTGTGCACCGAATAAAGGGTTGAAAAAGAGTTTGGATCTTCAAATTATCTTTATATAAATCCATTTTTTTTCATAAACGGTTCTATTTATTGGTCATATATTGTAATTTATAGAAAAAATGCACACAATATCACAATTAAAATGGTATCAGTTTATTAAATATGTAGTTACCTGACGGCGGTGAATTATATTGTCATTTATGAATGCAATGACATCAAATAGTCATCGCCAAGAGATCTAGAAACACACAACACTTGATATATTTAATATAATCAGCAACACACCTTTTTACTCATTTTCCTTTGTGCACTTACAGACTCAAAATAGTGCCATGTTCATAAATCAATCTCTCACTTAAAACGTTTTGTTGGGAACTAGTAATACTGTGGTACTCAAATTCGGACATGTTTTTATATCTGTGATCTTGCCTGCGACCTCATTAAACGCAATGTTATGAAAGTTAAAGACTTGAATTTTGTCAATATTCTTTTACTGAATATACCCTTGAGAATACAGTACAAGTGTTCCTGTTTGATTCCCCAGTCCCGCACTAGATGTAGCGGAACACCTGCCCGACTGTGGTGTTCCGTGTCGTGACATCTGCTGGGCTGTGTTCCTGTTTGATGCTTCAGTCCCGCACTAGATGTAGCGAACACCTGCCCGACTGTGGTGTTCCGTGTCGTGACATCTGCTGGGCTGTGTTCCTGTTTGATGCTTCAGTCCCGCACTAGATGTAGCGGAACACCTGGCCGACTGTGGTGCTCCGTGTCGTGACATCAGCTGGACTGTGTTCCTCTGGGTGGTACCGAATCCACAGATGAACAACATACTTATTCCCGCCCCTGTCGTATAGGTTCCCATCTTGGTAAGACATGCGACAGCTCATTAAACTTATGAACTCCTGCTATGTGCAAATTATATGGGGATATGCCCTGGCCAGCCTGGCCGGAAGTCGCACTGAATAGTAAACCCATACTCCCTCATCAATTGTTGCATATCCTCGGGGCCAAGGCCGTAAGAACTCTGCCAACGGTTTGGCAATAACAGCTTTGCATAGATGGTAATGGGATTCATAACCCATACTGACGTCACAGTAGAGGAGAGGGTCCAGATGTTTGACAACAATTACGTCCAAATCTCAATAATTAATAAAGCGACAAAACCCTTTCCATATCCAATAGAAATCTCTGCATAAAGCAGAGTCGGTTGTACGATTCCGAATATATTATGAGCATGTGTTTATGAATCACTATCAAACAGTAGTGATACCAGGTGTTCGCGAAAGGTGGGCATACCCTGTCCCACCATCACAAACACATGCAAAGGCAAGTCAATTGTTCAGCTGAAAAAAGACGGGTACATATGGTACATGTAAAAATAGGGAATTGCATCCATTCCGCCATATTCCAACACAGCTTCTAGACGTACTATATCCGTGAAGTGCTCAACACCCACAGATGGACCTCGGATGCTGCCCTGTACATCAGCTTCAGTCCCTGGACCCTGGTGTAGGTTTCTCTCCAGTAGTCGCCCTTTGGTACCTTGTCCTACCAGAAGAGAATGGCATCTGGTTTGATGAACCTGGGGACGTTACTTCTCGCGGATCCACCGTACCACGTGAAGTGAACAATGTTTGTCACAACCCTGTCCGACTTGACTGTGGTAAAGGTATAGTCAATATCTGCATCCAAGGTCTGTACAAACGTGGCGAGATGGATACACATGAAGGCTGTTTCGTTATCATCGTTTTACATAGATTTCCATAGATGCAGATCTTACACTTACGTAGGGGAAATTTATGTTTCCATGGCAATATTCCTCCTGTAATCTTGCTATAGATCACATTACTTCATGTTCCTATTGTATTGCACATTTGAACGCATAAAGACATTTGTGGCCATAACATGTTCGACAATCGAAAACTAAATATCTGTTATTACTTTGTTTTGTTGATAAGAAGTGTCTGATGGCCTATACCTACATTCGGTTTGAATATATTATTATGTATCAATAACATGTAACAATCTTATAACGTTGTCATAAATGTATCTCAATGTGTATTTACAAAACTGGCACAGAAAACGTAGACTGATACAGTAAACTGTTTTTATGAAATCTGAAGACATGAAGGTTTTCCTTCTATGTCTGGTTCTATAGGATCCGCGGCTGGAGCATATTTACAGCCGAGATATTGCCATGTACTTTTCAGCCTTCAGATAAATACATAAACTGTGAATATGCCATCTGGGATAGGCTGTACTCAGAATATGTTCTGAAGACTTGTATCACAACGATGGCGTAGAAGGAGACACAAGTAATGTGTGATTTATGATTTCTAAAAATAATTTTGGGTTAGAATCCTTTCTCAACCTATATTCTCAACCGTGCGGCCAAGTCGTTTAAGGCGCCGCGATTCTCTGTGCAGAGTGGGTTCTAATCCCGGTTCGCCCCAATTATGTTTCTAGGTTTGTCAGCACCATGCCCGTGCTCGTGGGTTTCACCGAAGTGGTAAACGTCTGAGACCTGCATCACTTCGGGCTCATCACAAGCGGCGTTAAACCCAACTCCCTCACTCACTCAACCTTTATAGATACCGTTTATGGACAAAAGATGTTTTGAAAAAATAATTTGAAGGCCCAGACTGTTTTATTCGGTGCACAATACATGTCATGGCTTCGCTATGGTTGCACACTGTTTCCTGTTGGGCAAGTTGTGATGGAAGTTGTTGTAGTACTGACCCAGCGCTGTCAGTTTCGACGTGGACGAATAAAGTTGTAACAGGAAGCCATCATTCTTCCAGCACTTGATGAACCATGCGTATCGGTAAACAAAGTGAGCGTTTTCCAGGCGCGGAAGGATCTGTTTCATGTAGTTCAGGATGTGTGAGTGGGACGTGTGTGGACAACCAGACTCCGTGAGCCACACCTTCTTCTTTTATCGATTGTACATCTTCTCAAAGTATCTCATATCACGGTCTTCATTACAGGAGTATGTATGTGCGGCAATGAAATCAACACGGCAGCCTTGACACGCTTTAAAAATCCATCTCTTCATCGAGTTGCAGTTACTTTCGCCATTACAACCGGAAGGAGCTGGACTCACAAGAAGCATGACGCTCGATTTCTAGCCAATGGCTTGCGGCTTCTTGATTTGTCACTGATGACCGATTATGATCAGGATTAACAAACACATATGTTTCTGCTTATATGTTATTACAGAAACAAGTCAATGTATTTGTTTGCAAGGAGAATTATTCGTATCGTAACCATAATACAATTTTATGTTAGGCATATCAATTATAAATGCATGTATTTGGTCCTTAAAATATTATTGTTAATGTATCTATTTCTTCATGTCTACATGCATATGCAGATTACCCTTACTTTATAAATAACAGATTTCGTAGTTTCAAGATCAATATGAATTTAGCAATAACAGAATTCCCGCAGTTTTTACCGACGACATATGGCCTTCGTGGCCGACACTGAGCATGGAACCCCGACCAAAAAGCTAATCCTTTCTAAAGAGACCTGAACAGTGTCTAATGTTCATGTGTATCACTTTAAATTTGTAGATCATGCTCACATAGCATCAGGCACACCTGCCCTACTGCTGCCCTGGTTGTGTCCAAGATACAGAAGGAGAGCTATTTTCATAGCCATTGCCATCGAAAACTAGGACAGATTCCTGATTGTGTTCGCAAGAGTCATCGCAGCTTTGGGAGACATTCCATACATTCTCTCTGATTATCATCATTGGTATGCCAGCACCATATATGTGCTCCTGGGTGTCACCAACGTTGTAAAGGTCTTCCATCTGTGACCCCTTGGCTTTCCTCTGACGCTGTCTCTGACGCTGACTTAAAGTCATTTGCAGGATAATAGGAAGGTAACTATGTCACCTAAGTAATTGCATCCCGGAAAACTATGATGATGGGTACGAATTAATCCCATCAATCCCATTGCTCTGGCCATGTTTCTAGCTTGTCAGCACCAACCGCGCGTGTAAATTTCACCAAAGTGGTAAATGTCTTTGACTTGTATCACTTCTGGGTGTCCTCTTTCATCGCAACACACCGTGATTTAACTGAAATACTGTTCAATGCGACGTTAAGCCAAACTTACTCATTAGTTTCTGTTTAAAAAAAACCATGAGTATTCTTTAAAGTCGCTTTCAGCAACATTCCAGCAATATCACAGCGGGGGATACCACACATTATACCCATGTCGGGAATCGAACCCGTGTCTTAGGCGTGACGAGCGAACGCTTTAACCACTAGGCTACCCCACCGCCCTTAAAAACCCCATGAAAGTACAACTAAGCGTATCATAATTAACAGACTTGTGGCCTCATTTTCTTATCGACTGTACTTATATACCATGTCGTTTTCAGGATAAAACAGAATATGGTGCATATATTCTTCATGTAGTTAAAATTACACATCGAGTTGGATGGTAAATAATATCGATCGAGGTCATAGATATAGTATGTGTGATATCTGAAAACCTTTTGTTATGAGGAGTATCAGATGTGTTCATTGAATATTTGCCTATTTTGAACACAACACGAAGTAGTAAGTATGCCATGAGTCGAAAAGGCTGATCTGAGGGTTACTCGAACACGTGCAGGTCTTTAACCCAAGCAAATGTGTATGGGACAAACTAATAATGATAGAACAAAAATTTAGGCGTAATTTCCAAAATTGCAAGTGTATGAAAGAAAAATGGTTAGCTGTCCATTTGAACATATCTGATAGTTTTCATAACAATATTTAAAGTTTTATAATATGATATTTCCCAATGGGAGCAACATTCCTTATCGTACGTCATATTGATTAATAAGCTGTTGATTTTGGACAGAAAATTGATACGAAATACTTTTGCAGTTAAGTTGGTTGGTTGGTTGGTTTGTTGTTTAACGCCGCACTCAGCAATATTCCAGCTATATGACGGCGGTCTGTAAATAATCGAGTCTGGACCAGACAATCCAGTGATTAATATCATGAGCATCGATCCACGCAACAGGGATCGATGACATGCATCAACCAAGTCACCGATCCCGTTAGTCGCCTCTTATGACAAGCATAGTTACCTTTTGGCAAGCATGGGTTGCTGAAGACCTATTTTACCCCGGCGTCTTCACGGGCCTTATGCAGTTTAGAGCGTACTTTTTTTTACATAAAAACATATCCTCATACTATTGTCACACAATGTTTACAGCGACACGATTTACAGGGGTGAATTCCATCCATGTTAGGATCTCAGGTTCCGCTGGTTATTTCGTGTAGATTTCTCGAGTCTTGTTGTGCACTCCTATCAGCTGCTAAACCTGACTTATCTGATCTGTTGACCTTGCGACTGGTTGGATTCGCGTCGTTGTCAGCATGTTTATTGTTGTATAATTCCTTCTGTTTACACTGGCAGCAGCATCAACGAAGAGAGGGTACGGCGTCAACAACCACGTGTTCCTCTGTAACGACACGTACGCGTTAACGGAGTCGTCATGGTGGTAAGATAGCAGCGTTCTTTATAGATCCACAATCAACACCTTTACTATTCAGACTACAGTCCCGATACGTCTTCAGGGTGTTATACGTCATGCCTTTATGCAATTACACATTGGAATTTATATTTGCGATTTATCTCGTCTGAAAAATGATTTTGATGTCACTTTCCCGAACTAGAAATACTCGACTTCTTTCTTAATCTTTTCACGGCAAGTTTCAATTCCCGCGATTGTCGAGCCACCGTTGTGGCTTGTTTGTTTCTGATCGACTGGTATCTGGTCGTGCGCTATTTTGTCTTTTCCTTCCAATGAAATCAAGGGGCGGTCGGGTAGCCTAGTGGTTAAAGCGTTTGCTCGTCATGCCGAAAACCCGGGGTCGATTCCCGACATGGGTACAATGTGTGAAGCCCATTTCTGGTGTCCCCCGCCGTGATATTGCTGGAATATTGCTAAAAGCGGCGTAAAACCATACTCACTCACTCTAAAGAAATCTGTGGATAATCGAGACTGGTTATAATCTGGCGTTGACATTTCATATTTGAATTATGCACTATTCATGAAGGGTGTTTGTTGGGGTGGCACATGCTTCACACATTGCACCAATTGAACTCAATTTATCCTCGTAACAAGCGCACGACTTGACCACTAAATTACTCCACCACTCTGTAAGCCGTTTGTGTAAGGTAAGGTGACACAAATCCCCTACCCTCTGGGGTTGTAAGTGAGTGAGTGAGTGAGTTTGGTTTTACGCCGCTTTTAGCAATATTATAGCAATATCTCGGCGGGGGACACCAGAAATGGGCTTCACACATTGAACCCATGTCGGGAATCAAACCCGGGTCTTCGGCGTGACGAGCGAAAGCTTTAACCACTAGGCTACCCGACCGCCCCTCCGCTGTTGTAGTGTCCTTGCCTCTATAACATAATATTATGTTGCAGGTACAACTGGAGAACGAACTATATCGACTTTATCCACGAGGGCTGCACTCCGAGGGGGGAGTTCGTTCCAATGGTTTGGAGTTTCCAGATTAACTACACCCAGCATATATCTCACTCGTTTAACTACATCCTGGGATATAACGAACCAAATGAACGCGACCAATCAAATGTCACTCCTCAACTTGCTGCTTCTCATTGGCCAGAAATCGAAAAACTTGGGCAGGACAAACTGCTCGTAAGCCCCGCCCCTGCTCGATGCAATGGCTGGCATCTTTGCTTCAAGGAACCCACCGATTGGCTGGACGAGTTTTTCAAGGCATGTAATGGCTGCCGGGTTGACTTCCTGGCTGCGCACACATACAATTGTGACCCGGATAACGACATGCGCTATCTGGAGTCTCTGTACAATCGGTACGGTAAACAAATATGGCTGACAGAGTTTTCCTGTCCGAAGACAATGTCTGTGCAAAAAGAACTGGATTACATGAAGCAGATAGTACCTAGACTTGAAGCGGCGCCATTCATATACCGGTATGCGTGGTACATCACCCGACAGCCTGATACTGACTATCTCACATCGGCTGTCAACCTGCTGAAACCAAACATATCTGAGTTGACGTATCTAGGACACGTGTACAACTCACTGCCGGGGGTGTAGAGTTTAATATGACCCAAATACTGTCTAGATTTCGTATACAGGGTTATGACACTATAATGCCTTGATTTGATTTTATGATTTCTATGTAACATTAATATAATTCTGGAAAAATTCCGAATGTTATATGCAATTATTTACGTTTTTAGACTCGTATTGCTGAATCTGTCAGAATTACGTTTTTAAAGAAAACATGAAATATCTGCTTAATATCATCAAGATAAGGGGGCTAGGGTGGCCCAGTCGTCTAAGGCGCCGCGACTCGCTGTGCCGAGATGCGTCCCTTGGGTACGCCAGAAACCTATGATTGTGGGTTCGAATCCCGGTTCGCCCCGATTATGTTTCTAGGCTTGTCAGCACCATACCCGTGCTCGTGGGTTTCACCGACGCGGTAAACGTCTGAGACCTGCATCACTTCGGGCTTTCCTCCCACATTAAGCTGACACGCCGTGATATAACTGGAATAATGTTAAAAGCAGCGCTAAACCCAACTCACTCACTCACTCATCAACATAAAAAAAACAAGAATTTGTGTAAGGAAATGTAGAGTTTAAAGATCATAAATCGACAAAAGTAAGTGTGGATTTTATGTAATTTATTATTGAAAAAATCAAAATAACATTTTCAGATATTTATGTCCGCGCATTAAAGCGGGACCCGAATGGGGTCTTGATCTTAATTGAAGGGAATTCTGTCAAAGAATATTTGTGCAAAGTTTCATGCTTTTATCACGATTTGAACAATAACCCCTAAAATGAGGGCTTATCCGCTGGACTAGTGTGGGTATACGTGAATGAATTTAATTTTATTGATTACAAATAGGCTGTCAATAAACGGACAATACACAAATTTTCAATAAAAATAGAGACGAATAGTATCTTGCATATTAATAATCGCTCCCTGTTTTTGTCAATTTGTACATGTATCGGATTACCTATAATAAGTCATCCAAGCGTTCTGAAATGAAAAGATGTCGTCTTGTTAGTAAATGACATGGCTGTTCGTATATTTACTAGTGGTCTACGTTCTGTATCAATCTCATTAAAATCAGATCTGAATTGAATTGAATAATGTTTGCGTTAATGAGTGAGTGAATGAGTATGGTTTTTACGCTTCTTTTATCAATATTCCCGCAATATCACGGCGGGGGGCATCACAAATGGGCTTCACACATTGTACCTATGTTTGGAATTGAACCCGGGTCTTCGGCGTGACAAGTGAACGCTTCAACCACTAGGCTACCCGACCGCCCCTTGCGTTTATGAAGGTATAAAAGTTAAAATCGGTATGCGTAAGGTAGCGGATTTACGCAAAGTGTGCACATCGGTTTTCACGTTTATACCTCCATAAATGCAAAAATATATATTTAGGTCAGATATATAACAACGGTCTGTAAATTATCGAGTCTGGACCAGACAATCCAGTGACTGACATCATGAGCATCGATCCACGCAATTGGTTTTCTTTGGTTTGTTTGTTGTTTAACGCCGCACTCAGCATTTTCCAGCTATATGACGGCGGTTTGTAAATGATCCGAGTCTGGACAATCTTGTGATTGATATCATGACCATCGATCTACGTAATTGGGATACAATGGCATACATCAACCGAGTCACCTTTTATTAATAAATAAGTAAAAAATAACAACTTCACAGAGGGTTTATTTAATAAATAACGCACAAAAAACTGTAGACAGCAATACGAAGTCCATGATATCATCCAGCGCATTACTGCAACACACGCGAAAATTATTGTTTAGCCAATTCAGTACCATGGAATGACATGCAATATAAACTGAAGGGCAAAAGAAAGTGAACCGATTTTGTTTTTCATGTAGCAGAAAATTGAAAAAAGGAGAAAGATCACTAATTTCAGCAACAGTTTCTTTAAAGGTATCTGTGGCTTGGCAATTTTGTACAATAATAAATTGGTTCAATGAAGACCGGGTTAAGAAATGAATCTGCAAACACATGACCCCTACCGTGTTTGAAATGTATTTTTTCTAAGCTCCAAGCTAACAATTTCACGCTGTGACAACGTTGTGACAACGTTGTGACAACGTTGTGTTTACGTTGTGGTAACGTTGGGGATGTTACGTCAGTATAACGTTATTCTGTGGACTCCCATTTATGTTGTCACAACGTCATGGCCTAACGTTGTGTTACGTCATATTCACGTCGTCACAACGTTGTGATGACGGTGTATTTTACGTTGTGGGAACGTTGTATTTTTACGTTGAGGGAACGTTATAATAATGCGTTCCTACAACGTTATTCCGTGTACTACAATGGACGTTGTCACAACGACGTGAAATAACGTTGTTACAACTTGAAGGATGAAATACGTTGTGACCATTCCCTACTAAAATGTCGTAAAAACAACCCCAAACATGTTCCGGAAATGTTTTAGAATATGCTTTAGTCACGTGATTGTGTATGATTCGAGATACCTTTTACCAATGTTTAATACCAGGGCGTCGAATAGCCCAGTTAACAGTTTGATCGTGTTTTACTGACAATGTTCAAAACGTAAAAACACCACTGAGCTGTTAACTAGATAGATATGACTATAACAAAGTCAGACACCATTACCCTTTAGGCAAGTACTGCCGGAAACAAAATAAGAATGGCAGAGATTGTAAGGGGTTGACCATAGGATATTTTCGGGGGAGGTTCGGGTCCTGGAATTTTATCGAAAAAATATATTGTCACCGAAAATTCTTGACAAAAATAATTACGGTTCAGACTGGTGAAAAAAATGCCTGCCACAAAAAATGACATAGATCTAGTTGCAAGGTGCTTATCTTCAAGGTCATAGAGTTAAATAAAATCATATATCTGCTTTTGTAGCTGTGACCGAAAAAAATGTAATCTCCATAGAAAAGTTCCAGGTCCCCACCCCCTTGAATATTAAATGGTCGGTCTCTAATCAACTCCATATAGTATACTTCAACTTTCAGTCATGCGAAGTCACCATTCAGCAAAGAACTCCAAGACACATTTGTGTTGACATTTTAATATTTTTAGATAATTGAAAATTTATACACTTTTCGAAATTATTGAATGCCAGAATCTTCTTTCTTTGGTGTTCACTTCCACTTCCCTGAAATACAAACAACTTAATAAATCTCGAGCAGGTATTTGAAAGATACTATATGACGAGAAACATTCATTTGGAGATAAGGCTTTATCAATATTCAAACAATAATGTATAATGCAAGTGTCTGATGGAAACAAATTTTAACATTCATTCAGAGACATCAAGAACCAGGTTGAATACAAAACGTGGTACGAACATAGATTTATATAAATTGATCTACATTCTTCGCATTCATTTAAAGCAAAAAAATCCCCACCAATTAACACTGATATAGACAATGAAATGTAACTGTAAACAATTGTACTTACGTTAACATAATTCACAGCCCAGGGTTTATTTGGTGTGTTCCTCAATGATTCAACATTTTTCATTTTATCTCCTGGAATGGTCGTGTAAGATGTCTACGATACCCATCAGCAGATTAAAAAAAATGTAAATGCTAAATCAAATTACATGTATATTTATTTTTAAGAAATAAAATCACGTAATATCGCTAACGCATGAAAATCAAACATGACATAATCAACTGATAGGTATATATTTTCTGTTCCTCAATTTATTCATATGAACTATATAATATGCTACCATATATACTAACCATCACATATAATATGCATATATAAATATGAAACACACATTATATGAATATGAAATATACATTAAATGGATATGAAATATATTTAATGTGAATATAAAATATTTAATGTGAATTAGAAATGCACATTATATGGATATGAAATATATTTGATGTGAATATAAAATATTTAATGTGAATATGAAATTCACATTATATGAATACGTATGATGTGAATATGACTCAAAAAGGAACAAAAAACATTATTTGTATATATACATACCAGGACATGTTGAAATGAAATACATTTGAATATGAACTACAAATTTTATTTATGCATATGAAATACATTTAATATGAATAGTAATTATTCCTACATACTTACTTACAAGTACATATTTCCTCCCGAAGTTTCCGAGTACACATATACCGCATCTCGTTGAAAACACGGCCCCGTCAGTGACAAGTATGGGGTGAGAATATGTACATACTTCACCCACAAGTCCTGTGACAGAAGGGGCCCTCGGCGCTCCACCCCCACCGCCTAGCACCCCGAGGGGCGGCTGCGCGGTCGCTGTGGGGGTGTCACGCCTCAGACCGGGGTTTGTGATGAGGTCACATGGTGCTTGTCAGAATGCATGGAAGCATTCTAATGGCGAAGTAAGCGGTTGTATCTCTTGATAATCATTTTCGAAGTAGGCGACATGTTGCTCGAGTATCACCCCGACAAGACGGCTACCGGGCGGAATCCCGACAACAATCTCTCTCGGTTTGGGATAGCAATACTGAAGATGGGTGACGTTTCCACCAGCTTTTATATCTTCTAGGAACACCCTCGTCAGCAATTCCCCACGTCATGTTTGCTTAATCAGGAACGAATGTCAACACAGCAGTTTTATTGCACAACTTGTGTATTGCAACACTTGATAACAAGGGGAGCTTACTCTAGTTAGACTGTTTCAGCGGTTAACCGCTTCATCAAAGGAACATTGGTCGATCAGCATTCATTGATCAATGATCTTATCACTATTGGTTCACTGAGACTGTATACGAGCTACATTGTCAATTGTCAATCTAGTTTTAGAACCCAAAACACTATAAACATCTATTTCACAATCTGGAAAGTTAACTCGGTGTATATCAATGTTACGATTTTGTTGATTTTGCTTTCCTAGGTAAAACCCAACTTTGGGGCATCGAGTGCGCGAGTGAGAGGTTGTGTTAGGAATTCGAAGGGGAGGTGATTTGGTGAGTTGGTGATAGAAGCTTCCCCAAACTGCATTGACGTTTTTGCCCATTTATTTAAAACATATTTGTAAACAAACTCGTCATGACACAACTCTGTAATATACCAGCTCACATGTTTTTTTTAAAGCTTAGTCATATTTTCTGTAAAATATATTTTACGCCTGCAGTCGCTAGACTCTTGACACACAGGTAGCGGTTTAACCAGTGGACAAAGCATGAGGATCTGTTGATTCTGGAAATGGAATTAACGAGTCGATGATCATGACAGATTCGAGTGATTTCTCCGACTTAAACCATGTTATGCTTGGTATATAATTTCTCTATAATTATCCATAAAGGCCTATAGTTGCGTCAGTTTTACTTGTTAAAATACACGTTCAGAATGAACAGTGAATTCTTGGTTCAGAATGAACTGCAGCAATCAACCGACGTCATCAATGGTTTAATGGTGTGAGAAGCCATTCAGTGATGCCTGATTTAACTGAAATACTGCCCGAAGCAGCGTTAAAACCAACGTGAGTTTTGAAAGTAACTGAAAATATATCAAATGGAAAAACTATTTTTTTTGGTATGAATTTCCTTATGCCTCCACAGGTGGAAGCGCGTCTGCCCGGAGAGCGGAAGGTAGAGGCTTCGATCTCCTGGCCACGTTATACCAAAAAGCGTTAAAAGATGGTATTTGTTGTTACCGTGCATGGCTCTCGGGACACAGGGGGTAAAACAAGGACTGGTCGGCTCGGAGTCAGTAAACTCTGTCTGAGCGGGGTGTTCATGTTAAACTGCGGCATGGGATCTCAGTGGGCTAGCAGTGGTGGAAAAATACATCTTTGGTCCCACCCATTTTGGCAAGCCATCCAACTCAATCATTCCCATCTGTTTATCTTAAATTTGCAAATTGTTAATTTTTAAATAAGATATTAAAATTACTTCAAGAAAACTGACTAGACGAATGTGAATTTGGGATTTAATTAATTTCAACAATGAATTTCTAAGACATGTTCAGCTTAGTGTTGCAAATTTGACACCAGGAGATGCCTTCTGTATTGGATATGTAATGTATGGTGGGTCGTCGATTTCATTAATTTCAACATTGAATTTCTTAGACATGTTCAGCTAAGTGTAGCAAATTTGACATTGTCTTTTCAATGCTTTGATGGACATCTCTTTATACTCATTTATTTCATGACTGAACCCCTCCTTTTCAGGACAGCCTTAACATATAGCACACATATTTTATATGAAATAATTACAATTAAATTATGAAGGAATATCATATCCACCATGTCCAGAGATATATAGAAGTATTTCTAATTAAGCATATAGCAACGACATAGTGAGACCAAGTTAATATTCAAACCCCGTGATTCCCATGTAGACTATGCTTGTCGTAAGATAACAGACTCGGTAACCTGGTACCATCGTACCTCAACCGTGTGGATCAATGCTTACATTATCAATAATGGTTTGCCATGTGAAGTCTAGATTATGTACGAGCAGCAGTCATAAAGGTGGAATATTCCTTAGTGCGACGGTAAACAACAAACAAGCTTCAATGTTCAAAGGGTGTTCAAGTTTAAGCTGTAAAAAAGGAAGAATTACAATCTTATAACAAATTTTATATTTTGGATAATACTTTCTTAGTAAAGTACAGATTCTCGTACTTTTTTGGGTTGAGTCCCCAAAATGTACGAGAATGTGTACTTTACTAAGAAAGTGTAATCCCAAATATAACATTTGTTACATTTGACCACTTTCTAAATGGCATTGTGTATTCAATTACAATCTTGTTAAGTAATGTAAGAACGTATAGCTGAGTACAATATGTGTGCTGGATATAACATAAATGGCTTTGGTAAAGTTGGTATTAAACTTATTAAATCGTGTGGGAGTATTATACTAGTCTCTTACAGGTTTAATACACCAGACTATATGTACGCCATTAGGGTCAATTAAATCCCATAGTATTTACTACATTAAGTTCTCATTAACAATGTCTTATCTATATTTCTTCGAGAGTTTTCTTTTACAAATCACGAAATAATTCGTTCGAATCTCATATATCTTTGCGTTTTAGAATTGTGGTATATTAACGATCACATAGTTGTGAATATTTATTGATATTTTTCAAGTACCGAGTATTTCATTTTAGTTATCTCTTGTCAATGGAACGAAGGTGTGTGACACGGCTCTGGCATAACACAGAGGTATATGTAGGGTTATCTTAGAGGTGAGGTGAGGTGAAATTCGGTTTAACGTCGCGTCCAAGATTATTGCCCTTATATAGCGATGCGCATGCACGTGTGTGTGTGCGTGTGTGTGCGTGTGTGTGTGTGTGTGTGTGTGTGTGTGTGTGTGTGTGTGTGTGTGTGTGTGTGTGTGTGTGTGTGTGTGTGTGTGTGTGTCGCTGCTTGTACTAGTCTGGACTGATGCCGATTTATAGTGCTAGCCCACTGAGATACCATGCCGCAGTTTAACAAGAATACTCCACTCAGACACAGTATACTGACTCCAAGCCAACCAGTCCTTGCTTTAACCCCATAATGCCGAGTGCCAGACAGGGTAACAACAAGTACCATAATTTAACGTCTTTTGCTATGACGCGGCCGGGGATCGAACCCCAGACCTTGCGCTCTCCTGGCGGAAACTCTAGCACTAAACCACGGAGGCGGTCGGTTATCTGAGAGAACTAGATGATCACCCAAATATATATTTATAGCAATTAAATAAGTCTTAAATATTTACCACTTCTCTAATTTTGATATTTATAATTCATCTGCACAAATCAAACCGTTAATATGCTAATAAAGCGACGACAAACACCATTTTTAAATCACTAGTAACAGAATGTCAGTACACATTTGGTACACATGTCTCAACTCAGCTGAGCTGACATAGGATCTTCATATCCCCGACTGAACTGTAGACAGAATAAATCCCATGAACTCCGACCCACAAGATTTCGGCGTTCTTCCAACCAAGACGTTATAATACCTCGGTTACATGCCTTTTAGACCCGGGGTAGCACAGGTCTTCAGCAACCCATGCTTGCCGTAAAAGGCGACAATGCTTGTAGAAAGAGGCGACTAACGGGATCGGGTGATCAGGCTAGCTGACTTGGTTGATGTATGTCATCGTATCCCATTTGCGTGGACCGATGCTCATGGCGTTAATCACTGGATTGTCTGATCCATATTCGAATATTAACAGGTCGCCTTCATATGGCTGGAATATTGCTGAGTGCGGCGTTAAACAACAAACAAACAAACAAACATGCTTTTGACTTGCTTCATGAATACCATGAAAAATGTGAATGACCTGAGCAAAGCAGCCATCTCCATATAGTTACATGTCCACTCAAATTCTTATATATTCTGCCTGTATCCAATGAGCCCCTGGGGTGCGGTACTCTGGCAAGCAGCCTCCAAGTGACGTCATCGTTATAGAAATTTATTTTTATTATTATTATGTATTATGAATACAAGCATTTTAATGAATATGCTTTGCTAGGTATTGATAGCATATAGGTATCCTGATTAGCAACAGGGAAATTTACGATTGTTGATATAAATATTCTCGAGTCAATAATGCAGCTTTGATGATGACTGTGCACCCCCGTTTGATGTTCTACGCGTTTTACCTGCATTAAATAGAAAAGGTTCAATGACAGCTTTGTCAAGTTATGAAACACGTGTTAACCTCTCCTAGTTGTGTGTTATAGTAATACACATGGCTGTATGGTTTCTATTTCTCCGTTTTCTCCGTTTTGTATCAAACTGGATCTTTCTGGATCCGCCACAGATCCGAACACACAGACACTTTTAAGCAGTGTCATCTATCCACCTTCATAAAATAGTGTGTGTATGTGTGTGTGTGTATGCGTTTGTGTGTATTCGTTTGTGTGTATGCGTTTCGTGTATGTGTGTGCGTGTGCGTGTGGGTGTATGTGTGTGCGTGCGTGCGTGCGTGTGAGTGTGTGTGTGCGTGCGTGCGTGCGTGCGTGCGTGCGTGTGTGTATCCGTGTGTGTGACCTTGCGTGATTGTCCAGATTTTATATATCCTAGCTCACTTATAATTAGATAACATGCCGCAGCTAAACATGAATACCCCACTCACACACAATGTACTGCCTCCGAGCCTCCCAATCCTTGTTTTATCCCCTTAATGCAGGGTAACAACAAGTAGCATATTTTAACTTCTTTTGAAATGACAGCAGCAGATGGAACCCCGACCGTCCGCTCCCCGGTAGAGAGCAGTGGGTGAATGAGCGTCGTATCTATATCGGGTCGTGCCCCCGGTTACGAAACAAACCCGAGGTAGAGGGCGGGAGCACTTCTCAGTATTGTCTGGGGACGATGCTGCACTAAACCGTTCCTCGATTCCAGGAAACAGGAAGCGTTTACCTGTTGTGGTCCAGGGAACAAGTATTCATAGTAATCAAGGGACCATATTTCGGCCAGGATTATAAGTAAGTCAACAATAACTTCATAGGCTGCTCATTAATTTAATCATATTTATTCATTGACACACACGAATGTAGACAATACGAACTCAGTGACATCTT